TTTCGTATAATACGTGAAATGATGTAAAAGTTTGTATCATAAGGAAACTATATCAACAAAGCGAAGATAGTCTGTGCCTATTTTCTTCAGTTTCTGTGAAATAGACAGTAACGAGAAAAATGTTGATACATAGAACTTTAATTGAATACATGGGAAAGAGAATTTTTCTTAATTTTTTTTTGGGTCAGAAATACTGCATCGTTACAATAATACAGTATGTTTAATGGTACCGTAGTAAAATGACATCCAATGCCATTTTAGGGCGGCAAAACTTGAAATATTCTGGAAAAGGCAATCTGTATGATATTTACACATACTATCCCACATTAGCACATTTGAATCAGTATTTCATACTTAAGGCATTTAAAACAAGCCCGAAGATTAGTCCTTTATTTTCTGGGTGGTACCTTAAAATCAGCCCAGGTCCTTCCAGTAACCGTTTTTAATTTTAATTTCGTCAGAATTTTGGGCATTTTTGCTCCATGGATGTCGATATACATTGGGACAGCGTTGTTTCAACTTAGTGTGTAGATAAGTGACTAGAATACTGAATTGGATTTCCAAGCCCAGAAAACTGCACTGGATGCCTTTAATCCCCCAGCGAACAGATACTGTTTGTCGTCTCCTGCTGAGTTTTGTACGATCCCTGTGTTTATACTTCATCACCTGCACGTTTCCTTGCCATCGGCTCAGTCTTTCAAAGAAAAACAACGGTAAACATTCCATGACAGTTATACACTGTAGTTCGTGTTTTCAAAATTCCTAACGAACGACGGCTATGGTCTGCTGTGATATAGCTTCCTAGACGATGAGGGGTATTTTCCCTGGTAAGTGTTCAGTGTTTTTAAACTCTTAAAGGTATGTTTTTAGGGCTTGGAAAACCGATTTTTCAAAGTCAATATTCTAGTCAATTAACGTTACCTACATACTGAGTTGAAACCACACTGTCCCAATGTATATTGACCCTCATGGAGCAAAAATCCCCAAAATTCTGACGGAAAATGGTTACTGGAAGGGCCCCGGGCTGATTTATAAGGTACCACTCAGAAAATTAAGGACTGATATTATATTGGGGCTTGTTTCTGCTGTTTTAAACGCCCAAAGTATGGAATGCTGACTCAGTGCTAATGTGAAGCAGTATGTGTCAAAATCACAAAGATTGCCTTATTCAGAATATTTCCAATCTTGCTGCCCTGAAATCGTTTTGGATGTCTTTGAGACGGAGAAATATCTGAGAAATGTATTACCCTCTTCTTGAATGTTTTTTTGGTCATAACAAAGCTTTTAACTTAAAAGTTCTTGGCTGTGTACACAAGATTACTATGCTGCCCCATGCAACGCCATATGTAAACCGTAGACTCGTGATGCTGCATAATAATGTAAAAGCAGGAAACAAGTTCTAAACGACCCATGACCAAGACCTCAGAGCTGAAAGTATGAGACTTTTGCGGAAGATCGTGAGCAGAAATACACTCTTGAAAATTTACACAAATGTTTACACTAGCTGTACTGTATGATGTGCTGATACTAACATATGTGTGTTCACAGGCGTAAATAATAATGAATGTTATCCGGTTATATTTACGGATTTGTAAGGGAAGGGTAAAGGTATGAGTTACTAGTAGATTTACGTCGTATTTAAGAGCACTGAAAGGTGACTGAAAGGCGGAATTTGCCTTGCATTGGCCTTTACGAAGTCTTAAAGTCTACTGAAATATTTTCCCCTTTAATAATGCTTTACTTATTGCTTAAAGTTTGCTTAGATATCGGTTTTCGTGCTCTGTCTATCATAGCTTTTCAACGCATAGCTGGATGTTGTCTCGAAGTTCCCACACTATTACCATGCGGCCTACCGCATGATTTCAAAGTGGCACAGTTGAACAAGTTCGAGTGCGGAACTTAAAATGTTCATAACTAAATGTCGAGAAGCGAGGATGAAGTATTTGTGATCTCGTTTTCCTCGTTTTTCGAGTACCATCTAAACGTCGTAGGGCTCAGAAACATTATGACAAATGGAGTTCAACGTGGCACGCTTAGGACTCTTCCCCGAAGTGTTGGGCTCTATATACGCCAGCCAAAGTGTTTGCAGTGCCCGTGTAGTGCCTGCAGTGCCTGTGTAGTGTTTTCTTACTTGGCAAAACGTTCTCAAAATCTCCTACCGCGTGGTGAGGTGCGTGGTACTCTGCTACTCTACTCCACGTTGGAAGCGTACCCACCATTTACAGAGTAGTGAATAGCACTTACCAGAGGCTGAAAAACACGCTGAAGTTCCGCACTTTCGACAGATAACACTTCCAACTGTGGGTACAAGAGACTATCAAAGGTGCTAGACGAAAGACAGAAAGTCACAAACACTTTGGATATTTTGGTCCCGTTAATGTTAGCCTCTATCAGGCTTCTGAGGTGGATGAAAAGAGTAGTACTTGGCCACAAGATAACATGCCAGGGGAGTTGGTCAGCTAAGGAATACAGTTTGCTATATTCCTACAAACATGCTATGTGTGTTATGGAAAGAAGAGGATGACTAATCTAGATCTTTTTGTACGCGTGGCTGTAAGACAATATCAAATTGGCAAGACAGTATCATTGGCATAGCAGAATCTTGCCATTCTGTTGCCTTTCAAGTTTAATATAGGACCTAACTTTTCCTCAACGGTGTGCATACATTCCACGCTATGGTAGGATGTGTAAATACTAAAATCCTTGACCCTTAAATAAATTGAGTGAGTCCTAATGGGAATATATTTATGTTTACCAAAGAAAAACATACTGTTTTTGCTCTGTCTCCCCTTCTTCTTCTTCTCCAAACCAGTAAGGCCAATGACCTGAACCAGACGTCTATCACCATGGTAACTAGTGTTAGGTTACATCATGTTGCAATTTTTGCTTTTAGCATTCCATATAGGACCTAAGTCTTCCTCAACTGTGTATATTTACGCGTACATTCCACGCTGTGGTAGGATGTGTAAATACTAAAATCCTTGACCCTTAGATATAAATTGAGTGAGTCCTAATGAGAACACATTTATACCTGTTTCCATGCCATACAGTGCATGTATTCCTGTCTTTTGTTCTTCCCCTTCATGCGTGTTTACCTTCCTTATTCACAAATTCATGTTTAACCACTTCAACTAAAAAGCTTACAGCGTACGGACTGTACATAATACATGGCAACCAGAAGTACGTCTCCCTGGCAAAGTTAATATGTAAATACGGTAAACAGCGAGCAGATTATTATTGGAATGAGCAGAGCACTTTGGACTAATCTCTCTGGCTGTTCACAGCTTAGAGGTACATATCCAATATTTTGTCAAAAACATCTCTGTTACATAGCGGATCATAATGACCCCCAGTGGGGGTCTTCACGCTTCGTTAAAAATGGAAAAATCTCAGGATTTATTCCAAAGATCTCAATATTTTAGACGAAATCTTGAGATCTTATGAGACAATCTCAAGATCTTTCAGAAAATCTTAAGATGAAAACGAAAGGTCTCAAGATCTTTCAAGATATTTTTTAAACCATCTTGAGATTTTGCCATATCATCTCGAGATGCTTTAAAAAATATCAAGATTTTTTTTAAGATCTCATGATTTATAAAGTAATCTTGAGATTTTTTTAAGCATCTCGAGATGCTATGAAAACAACTTGGAAAGATCTTGAGACCTTTCATTTTCATCTTAAGATTTTCTGAAAGATCTTGAGATTGTCATGAAAATACTCAAGATTGTCTCATAAGATCTCAAGATTTCGTCTAAAATATTGAGATCTTTGGAATAAATCCTAAGATTTTTCCTATTTTAACGTTAAAG